ATGTTGTGAATTAGTTTGTATTGCTTTTACTTTTCCTCAAAGGTTGTGTTTGTGTGTATTATGTAAAAAAAAAAAAAAGATTCAAATTCTGAATTTTTTAGTTTAACATAGTTTTCTGGAACCACAATGGTGATGCAGAGGAGATTGGTTTTTATCATTTTCACCCATCGGTGGATTTCTTCATCAACAACAGCAAAACTCAGTGGTATACAAATGGAGAAGTGAGTTCTGTTATTCCATTTTTTAATAGTGAAACCGTTTGTCCACTTGAGGCTGGTTGCATAGGTGACATACACAACCATTCTTGAATTCTCCTTTTTTCACTAGAAAAAAAAAGGTTAACAGCCTGGTTCAGAAAGCTAATTTGGGCTGGATAGCTAATATCTTTATCAACACACACTATAAGTGGGGTTACATTTTTATAACTCGTCAGTTTTCATTTAAAGAAGGATTGATGTTATTCATACTTAGGGGTGTGACTGATCTGACTGATGGGTGGAAACATTGTATCTATTTGAGGCTATAAAGCTGCCTCAAGTCCACCTCTTTGTTTGTTGTTAGGTTGACCCAATGTTGCTTTGACTTCAAAAGTCCCCTTCTGTAACAATGGGTTGTGTCATTATTATAACAGCCATGATTTATACTGTCTATGTGGGTCACTAAATAAATGTTTTTTATAGGTACCTACTTCATTGTGTTCCCAAGAATGTTTTGAAGGATTTGTGAAAGAGCAGAATGGTAACCACAAATGCTGCTTCACTTGTAAAATCTGTCCAAATGGAACCTTTATCAACAACATAGGTAAAGTATGCACATGAGGAAGGAAAACTGCCATCATTATTGTTAAATTGAAATTGAAAATTTCTTGTGGCCGAGCATTATCGTCTAGTGGCCAAGAGTTAAGTAAGATAAGGCAATAAGTGAGTAAGTCATCGCCATGAGATAATCATTATTGGTCATCTCAATGTAGGGACTGTACATTGTTGCTTGAGCCGCTTTCAGAAATCCTATAAAGTACACCAATGTCATACATATATGTCAGTTTAATATAGTAGTCTGTAAATTTTTACAAATAAACCTTAACTGAACTGACAAATGTCCTCCTGTGGAATACAGGGAATCCCTACAAGTGCATCAACTGTAAAGACACAGAATGGTCTACAGAAGGAAGTACATCATGCAATCTGCGGTCAGTGGAGTACATTCCATTCACAGACATCGGTGCTATACTGATCATAGCCGGATCCTGGGCCTTGGTGGTTCTTTCAGTTGTCATGTCTGTTCTCTTTGCCATCAACTACAACACCCCTGTAGTCAGATCTGCTGGTGGACCAATGTGCTTCCTCATTTTAGGCTGCCTCAGTCTGTGTAGTCTAAGTGTGTTCTTTTACTTTGGTAAGCCAACAACTTCCTCTTGTATTTTAAGGTCGTTGCCATTTATTTTGTTTTACACGGTTTGTTTGGCATGTTTTGTTGTGCGCTCCTTTCAAATTGTTTGCATTTTCAAAATGGCCGCCAAGTTCCCAAAGCTCTACAGTTGGTGGATGAAGTATCAAGGACAATGGCTGATTATCACAGTGGCTTTTGTTACGCAGGCATTCTTACTTCTCATATGCTATGCCTCTGCCCCCCCAAAGCCCTATAATGAAACAGTTTGGTCCCCAGAAGAAATTATACTTAGTTGTTACACTAAATACGAAGCATTCTCTGGTTCTGCAATTTTACTTGTATTTTTGGGGTCTCTTTGTTTCATTTTCTCCTACATGGGAAAAAACCTCCCAAAAAACTACAATGAGGCCAAAGCAATAACCTTCTGTCTGCTCTTGTTAATCCTCACCTGGATTATTTTTGCTACTGTACAAGTGCTTTACAAAGGAAAGTACATCCAAACTCTTAACGCCCTGGCAGTACTCTCTAGTATCTATTCCTTTCTGTTGTGGTATTTCCTCCCTAAATGTTACATCATCATGTTTCAACCACACAAAAACACGCAGCAGTACTTCCAAGGTCTCATTCAGAATTACACCAAAACAATTAGCCAGTAGCCGCCAACATATATATACACATATAAATACCTCTGTTAAGGGGTTATTTTTCCTTTTAGAGCTGAGAAATATCAAGTAGACTGTCTGTCTTCTTTTTCGGTTTGGAATTAATCTGATTATGCACAAGTAAGGAAATTTCTTATCAATGCACAGCATTTACAAAACTATCTCATTAAATGTAAGACAATAGTTGTTTTGGATGTTGACATTTCTGTCATTCAATGTCCACTGAACATTAAAGCAACAATATATAACTTTTCCACCATTAAATAGAAGTTTCAAAGTCAATCTAACAGTACAAACTTTAAACAGGCAGAATAGCATTTCTCCCATGTCAACAGATTTCCCCGGTGGGTGGGGTTCTCTTACTAGAAATGCGCAAGGTTTTATGGCGTTAGCCAATTAACCTGTTTGATAGATTGGCTTACACTAAGAGCTAAGATGAAGCTTAAAGACGGAAGAGGACGTTGACTGATGAAGCTAAGAAAAAAGAGAGTGACGGAGCAAGAAGCACAAATTATTCATAACAGATTACGACATTACTCTGTATTGTTATCACTGTCATTGATATCTCATGTTTAGCAGCTTTATGGTGCAAAGGAGTCATCCAACCGAGGGGTTCCCTCTCTGGGCAGTAGGCCCCCCTAGAGATCTCAGGAGGAGCGTGACTCTCTGTTACATTCTGAGGTTGTCAAAATGATATTTGAACATATTGACTACAATCCTGATATAAGACTTAGTGGGAAGTGTATTCAATAGTCTTTAGGTAATAGCTAGTGTGTGTAGGCCTATTAAGATATCATTTATCAATAAAAACCTTTCATATTAATGTTCATTTTTGACAGCACTGTATTGCTTTTGTGTTGGTCCAAAATGGTGGGAATCTCTGATCTAACCCTACTTATGTCTCAGACTTGCATACAAATTAATCAATAAATCCATCTTATGCCAGATGTTGTGTCTACAATTGACAGTAGATGCTAGCTGAGTCTCTTTTGCACAGAATCCGGTTATATTACTGTATCGTGTCAGTTGACGTGGGTCTTTGGTTTCTCACTACACCGCCCCCCCATGCTTGTCAACAAATAAATGTTGTCTGTGATGGAGAGTAGTGGGGAGGCATAACAGCCGTAGCACTCCAAGACTCTGTTCTGTTGTTGTTTTGCTGTATTTGCCGTGTCTGTCACAGCACTTTATAAACATTTGTTTTTAAAGGTGCTATATAAATAAAGATATTATTATATTATTAAGACCATCAGTCGACATCGAAGCACACCAAACCCATATTCTACATATTCCTTCTTTAATTGGAAATATTAAAAATGTATTGGGTCATGTACTGTTTGCAAACTCATGACACAGTGGATCACAGAAGCCATTTTTTTTTCAAGTTCCTGTACATTTCATGTTACATGTTTATATGTACATTAAATAGAGTTTTAATCAAAAAGTGTGAAATTCAACATTTACATCATACTCACTGTAACGCTGATCATGCCACATGCATGGCACTACTTTGCTGTGACATTGTCTGCAGGCTCTAACAGTGTGTAAAGCCTTTGTTCAAAATGTTTGGAATTTGTGAACACAACTATTTAATGTTATAAACTCAAGATATCAAACTCATACTTGGAGAAGTAAATGAACGTTATAGAATCCTGATGTATGCTTTGTGTGTATCCTTTTTGTGACACCTCAATGGGTGATATTTTTAAGCCAAAGCATTGAGTTTGATCGTCATACATTTTAGCATCACTATATCAGCTAGTCATTCATGTTACATCAGACTTTAAGGCGCTATCATAACATACAGTTTTAAACTTTCTTATGCCTTACTTCTAGTCTGATCATATTATACCTTATCATCCATTCATGAACTTAGTTTGCTTTAGGCCCTTTTCCTTACCCTTTCACCCTGGGGGAATCATCTTGTTTACTTAAATCTGCAACGCAATTTCGATTCCACTGTATGTCTGGCATATTTTGAAATAAAAAATAAAATTGACTTTGACTTTAGGGTCATGGTTAAATCTCATTCATGTGTCTCAGTCTCGATGTTGAATGTTGGCATGTCCCTATTACCAAGCAGAACAGGAAGTGCAGACCTCCCAGGCGAAGGTTGCCTGAATTCAAATTCTGGTGAGAGTCGTGGCTATTAGTCACACTCATGGGCTGAGTTGTTGCAAATGTTCCTATTTTGAATTACCTGTGTGGTCCAAATTTAAATTGTACAGGGATCATTTGAGAGAGGAGATGGCCTTATTGCATACACCAATGATACAGGTTTGAATTCATTTCATTTGTGTGTATTTGCTTGTCGCTCTATCCTGTATGTTTCAGTCCTTTGTATATACATAGCTTTAGAGTATAGCTTTCTTTCAGATGCAATTCAATGTCACATTATTGTCTGTTACAACAAGAGTTGTTGGTTCATAGTCTTAAAAATAATGTATCAAGACAAATGTTGTGCCAAGCATCTTTCTTTCTGTGGCAAAGCTTTGGGGCTTGAAAAAAACAAGATGTTAATACTTTGACTTGATGAACATTTGAAAGGAAAATGTGGCAATGTGGATTTTCAAATGTGGTATTTGAGTTAATCCTAAATATAAAAAATGGTCCTTATATCCACAAGTGAGTTTAAAAACTAGATGGAATTTGTTATTTAATCTTCAGGACAGAATCTATTTTTTCTATTTCCAGATTCATTCATGATAAAAACATGCATGTTCAATTGTTGAACCCTCTGTGGAAATTGGTAGCAGCAGTTAGGATGGTTTTTGCATACTGATTTGGGTGTTCTCCCCAAGCATCAATAGTTTCAATTTATGTCACCTAATGTACTCCCAAATTCATGGAAATTACGTGTTTAACCAACACCTTTGTCTAATCAGTTGATAAAAGCAGGGGTAAACCCCATTGTAGTTCACATCTGATATTTTAACAATAGCTTTGACAATGAAACATTGTCTTGTGTTTTTGTCTCTCCTGGGAATGTTTCTCCATGCTTTGGCTCAATGCAATGTCACAGCCTCAGAGTTTAATCTGGATGGAGATCATTTGATTGGTGGACTTTTTGAGATTCATCCTGTCGATGATCCTGTTCCTCATGACAGACCAGAAACAATCGAGTGCTCAAGGTTAGTCTTATAAAAAATCGTGTTGACTCAGAATATTACTAAATAAAAAACATATATATTGCATATTGGTATTAACAATCAGTTTTACTGGGTTTTTTTTGTATTTTTTGTAATTTATTATAATATTTAAAAGGCAATCAGTCCTTGTACAAACATTATGCTTAGTGGCATAATCAGTTTCATGGTCAAATTAAGTTTTATTACACTCAAAAGCTATTCATTGTTTCCTTATCTCCTTTTGTCCTCTATGCTCTCAGTAACCCCATCCTTCTTCCAAATTATCGGAGGTTTCAGTTGATGAGATTCTCTGTGGAGGAAATCAATAACTCAACAAACCTACTGCCAAATGTGTCTCTTGGTTATGAGATGTTTGATCACTGCTCAGTTACACAGAATTATCCAGGAGTTTTCAACCTCATTTCAGTTAATGGCTTGATCCGACCATGGGCTGAGCCACAAAAGCATCAAACAAATAATACTGATGTGTCCAAAGTAATAGCATCGGTCGGTCCTTTAACCAGCACTCAGGCCCTGACTATTGCCCCACTATTCATGACGGATCTCATTCCCATGGTAAGTTAAAAAACAGACTTATGTTATACAGTAAAATACTGTGTTTTTTATTTCTTAAATTTTAATCATCTTATAGTTTTTAAAATGTGATTGAAATACCTAATGTGTGTATTAACCTTTGACAGGTCAATTACGGATCTACAATCTCTGTCTTTTCAAAAAAAGAGATATTCCCCTCTTTCCTGCGAACAGTGCATCCCAATACAAATGTCATAGAAGGGATTGTTAATATTGTGCTGCACTTCAACTGGCACTGGGTTGCTTTCCTTCATAGTGACAATGATTATGGCTATGATGGACGGGAATTGTTCTTAAAAAGGATCAAGGATACTACAATCTGTCTGGCGTATGCCAAAAGTCTGGAGGACAGTACAAGTTATTCCCAAATGTTCAAACAGATAGAGTTACAGGGGATACATGCTGTTATTGTTTTTGCTCCAAAAATGACTGCTGAAACTCTCATTATGTCAGCAATACAACTGAATATCACACAAAAAGTGTGGATAGCAGGAGATGCATGGTCCTTAAACAAGAGGCTCCCAAAAGAAAAAGGCATCAAAAATATTGGAACTGTACTTGGAGTGTCTCAACCAGTAGTAAAAATACCAGGTTTCAGTGATTTTGTGTTTTCTACTAAAAGCAAGACATATTCTGAAAACAAACAAAAACATAGATTTTGTAATCAGGTTTGCAACTGCAGTGACCTCAGTGCAGAAGAAATCCTTTCTGTGGACCCGACTTACTCTTTTCCGGTGTATTCTGCTGTGTATGCCATCGCTCATGCCTTGCATAATGCCTTGCAGTGTGACTCTAACAGATGTAATGGCAATATTACAGTGTTTCCACACATGGTAAGTATACAAATTGTTTTAAGTTTTTATTTTCTCTGAGTACTTAAACATGACTCCTTGGATTATCTGAATGCTTGTGATGACATGTATCTATAATGTAATATCTGAACACATAAAAGTAATGCCTGTTTGTACTTTGTTTACCCACATCAGGTCCTTGCCGAGCTGAAGAAGTCAAACTTTACACTCTTAAACCAAAGTATTACGTTTGATGAGTATGGTGACCCAACATATGGATCTTACTCCATAGTTTTCTGGAACCACAATGGTGATGCAGAGGAGATTGGTTTTTATCATTTTCACCCATCGGTGGATTTCTTCATCAACAACAGCAAAATTAAGTGGTATACAAATGGAGAAGTGAGTCCTGTTTTTTCCTTTTTATGTTAGTGAAACTATATGGTAGTCTGGCAAAAGTTTGGTGATATGTTGTGAATTAGTTTGTATTGCTTTTACTTTTCCTCAAAGGTTGTGTTTGTGTGTATTATGTAAAAAAAAAAAAAAGATTCAAATTCTGAATTTGGTATAGTATCTGTGGCTGCCAGGCGTGGTGATTCTGATTCCTTTCGGTCCGTAGGCAAAATTCAATTGGGGCAGCCACCAACCCAGCGTTCATCACCATCATGTCTACCAGTTTCCCAACAATAATTCCTCTTCCTCTTTACTTTTCCTCTCGTATAGATAGATCTTTCTGCTTTATATTTATTTGTTTACTTTTATTGACAGCAATAATGCATGCAACGCTTAGCAGGTCAACGAAGTGAGTGCTGTCAAAATAGATCTGGATAGGACATATCACTGATATCTGACGTGTAACTACATAATTGTTTTGTACAGGTACCTACTTCATTGTGTTCCCAAGAATGTTCCGAAGGATTTGTGAAAGAGCAGAATGGAATCCACAAATGCTGCTTCATTTGTGAAATCTGTCCAAATGGAACTTATATCAACGGCACAGGTACAGTATACACATGAAGAAGAAAACTACTACACATCTGTTTTCATGCTAGTTTATGGAGCTTATCAGCATTTATGTAAGGAGGCAAGAGCAGCTGTGCAAAATAAAGAATTTGCCAACAAAAAGACTAAATGTGGGACCGTTATAAATGGGAGATTGTTTTGGAATTGTACCTTTACTTCATGAACCAGAAAAAATAATCATGCAAACCTTCATGATAGGCCCGGACCGCACTGGGTGGCAGGTTAGGGTTGAGTTATGCACAACAAAGTAACATTTTCAACAACAACAAAAAATACCCAATTAAAGCCAAATCAGGAAAGTTGTTAAAATGTACCTACTCACAGCAAAAAATAAGGCTTAAATCAAACAATAATCCCGTCTCACTGCCATGACTGTGGCTCATTTGTAAAGTTAGATGCCTCTCAACTGGAATTTCGAAGGGTTCGCTCCCCAGTTCCTGCAGCCAAATGTTGATGTGTCCATGGGTAGCTTCTGCTGCTTTGCCATGGTATTAGTTATTACTGAAAGACACATACACATGTATTCTTTGTCTGTGGTTCTAAAAAGCTCATCATGCACTTGTAACAAAAAACTGTAATACTGTGAACTCTTGCACTGTTTGCTAAGCTGCCTGATCTATATACCCCAAAATGACTTTTTTTTAAGTAAACCTTAACTGAACTGACAAATTGTCTTCCACATAATATAGAGAATCCTTACAAGTGCATCAACTGTAAAGACACAGAATGGTCTACAGAAGGAAGTACATCATGCAATCTGCGGTCAGTGGAGTACATTCCATTCACAGACATCGGTGCTATACTGATCATAGCCGGATCCTGGGCCTTGGTGGTTCTTTCAGTTGTCATGTCTGTTCTCTTTGCCATCAACTACAACACCCCTGTAGTCAGATCTGCTGGTGGACCAATGTGCTTCCTCATTTTAGGCTGCCTCAGTCTGTGTAGTCTAAGTGTGTTCTTTTACTTTGGTACGCCAACAACTTCCTCTTGTATTTTAAGGTCGTTGCCATTTATTTTGTTTTACACGGTTTGTTTGGCATGTTTCGTTGTGCGCTCCTTTCAAATTGTTTGCATTTTCAAAATGGCCGCCAAGTTCCCAAAGCTCTACAATTGGTGGATGAAGTATCAAGGACAATGGCTGATTATCACAGTGGCTTTTGTTACGCAGGCATTCTTACTTCTCATATGCTATGCCTCTGCCCCCCCAAAGCCCTATAATGAAACAGTTTGGTCCCCAGAAGAAATTATACTTAGTTGTTACACTAAATACGAAGCATTCTCTGGTTCTGCAATTTTACTTGTATTTTTGTGCTTTCTTTGCTTCATTTTCTCCTACATGGGAAAAAACCTCCCAAAAAACTACAATGAGGCCAAAGCGATAACCTTCTGTCTGCTCCTGTTAATCCTCACCTGGATTATTTTTGCTACTGTACAAGTGCTTTACAAAGGAAAGTACATCCAAACTCTTAACGCCCTGGCAGTACTCTCTAGTATCTATTCCTTTCTGTTGTGGTATTTCTTCCCTAAATGTTACATCATGATGTTTCAACCACACAAAAACACGCAGCAGTACTTCCAAGGTCTCATTCAGAATTACACCAAAACAATTAGCCAGTAGCAGCTTCAGGAAACCGTGAATTTAAAAAAGAAAAGCAAATGTGATTCCTCAAGGACCTCCTGCATTAGAAGTGCAATTAAAGGTTATTAACAAGCCCTCTTCTGGTAAAGTAAAATGAATCATATCTGATAAATTATTACCATCCTATAAGGTTCTAAATCAAAAACTGAAGTAAAAACAAATTAATGACAAGAAGTTTCAGAGGGGCTCTGTACTTTTTGTTTGTAACAGTCACCATCCTGTGGTGTTAAGAGGCAAATGTACATAAGGACTGCACTCAGTGTTTAATACTAATGTGTGCCCCATTTCTTTTCTGTCTCACTTGGTTCATACTGAAAGTAGATTAAAAAACACTGATTTCATTCATTTTTGTATTTAAATGTCAGCTTGTCATCCAGTTGCATTATTGAAAGGAAGACCCTTTGACTTCATCCCTGTTGCTATGGTTATCCATGTGAAATTATGATATGGAGCCAGCACATACTATGAACAATGAATGGGAAGTTGGAAGTACTCCATAGGTGTCCAATTGTCAGTAATTGATTGACACCCCGCAGCCAATCAGAACTGAGTACTAACCCAGGCCATGGTACATGCAGTAACACATTGAGTCAACTGAGGATGCTTAATTGGGACTTTATGTGATAGGTGTAGGATGATAAGGATCACAGACAGGGTGAGGCTGAGGGTTGACAAGGCACGCTGCAGACTGCAGTTACTGTTTCTTATCTACCTACATTATTTCTTTAACATTTTTTAAGTTGTAGATTTTTTATATGATCAGTGAAATAAGTAACCGTTTCTGTTCAACTACTCAAATAACTGAGATACTCAGCTGTAATACCAATGTAAGAGAGATGTAATAAACAAAAATAAAAAAAGGAATGTGCTTTAATTGTTCAACAGTACTTTGAGGTTGCTATTACACCAATTCCACCACATGATGGCACCACTTTACAGTGATGTTGAAAGGCTTCATTTTCTACTGTCAGTATTTAACCAACGTGAAAGCCAAGTGATATATAAAGTGTTGTATTCATCCTGACCTTCAAATTAAAGCCATAGTCTGTGAATATTACAACTAGAACATTTGAATAGGATAAAGCTTTAAATATGGCAACACACATTTTGAGTAGAAACAAGGAACAAATGAGGAACCAAGTGAAGCATAATTTAATACGTATCTCTTTAACTAAATTATACAGATTTGCTAATGATACGTTTATTATTAGTTAATGATAAATTAGTTAGAAAACTTGTGATGTAAAAAATCATTTATTAGTATCCTTCTATAATTCATCATAGTTGACTACTAATGGTAAGATATCAGACTGAAAAATCCTTTATTTATTAATCATGACGAACTGAGTAGTTCATGAATTTCTGAAACTCTTAATCAGTCTCACAGAAAATTTCCATCACCAGTCATACATGTTGAGTCCTGAACTTACAGTTCAGGACAGTTACAATTTAAAACTAGTAACTATTGATTTATTACTCATTTTTAATCACAAGTTAATCTTTTGTGCATCGATTTTAGGGATCTGTCTCATATATGCATCAGTACTGTTTTCTGATGAAAAACCTCATCCTGCTTTCTCTGAACAATCCATCATATTACTCACTGTGATCTTTGCTGTGGAAAATGTCAACAGAGGGTGTTATAACTGTGTGATAATTCTCCCTGTGGCAGTGGTTGCATGTATAGAAAATTACAATAAAGAAATTAATCTTGCTTTCACAGAAATCTATCTTTTCCAGCTCTTGCAGGTCACATCGAGGCATTAATGTTATTTATTTATTTTTTATTATTTTGAAAATAAATACAAAAATACATATGTGAAGCAACTGCACACATGAGATAACAAGAACATGAAGACCTTACACACTTGGCAGGACAAGGGAGGAAAATAAAACAGTCAATAATAAGAAGAAAACGGGACGTTAACAGAAAATCTATTTAGCAGAGAGAGGTGTCCAGGGCTGGGGGTGAGGCAGTGAGCTGGAGATGGCTGGCTGGCAGGTTTATTTGGCGGTGAGTTGGAATATGCAGAAGAAGGTCCTGGAGACAAAAGGTGTCCTAGCAGTGGCAGGCAGGCAACAAAACAAAGTCTTAAAGGTTGTTAACAGGGCTAAACAGAACTTGACTTGTGACTAAACAACCGTGGCACAACGATCCAGCAGAGACTGAGTGTTGGTGCAGGGTTCTTGTAGGTGAAGTCGATTGCGGGCAGGTGTGTTGTTGATTATAGATCCAATGCAGCTGAGAGTGAAGTGGACAGCGTGGAAGGGGGGAGGGGAAAAGAAAACACAATAAGCACTCAGCACTCACACAAAAATACTCTGGAGTCAAAGAGTCGGTACTGTGACACCTCTGAGAGTAGAAACATAATGTAATCCATTTTTTTCACAGTTCTCAATAAATGCATCCTTTTGTGTTCTGAAATTAAAAGTTATTCTTTCCATCACAAAGATGTTATACATCATATCAATCAATTAATCTACATTGGGTATTTCTTTTGTCAGCCATTTTATGGTTAAGGATTTTCTAAATGCCACTAATAATATTCTTATCAGGTATGTATTCTTCTTTCTCCACTCAAGTTCATCTAGGTTCATCAGGGCAACTCCTCTTTGTTTCCGCAACATCTCCAACAGTCTGTATGATTTGAATAGGATTTATTTTGCGAAGTACAGAAATATCATATTACATTTGTCCAAGAAAATTAATTTCAGCCTTCTAATTACCAGCAAGGAACTCACTGGAGCATTAAGGTGTGATAAATGATACTAGCTGAGTAGTCCCTCATGACTTAACGTGAAATTACATAACCATTACATTAAGTTATCTTTTAGTGTCCCCTCAAATATCAATACCATACCATACCATACCATACCATACCAAACCATACCATACCAAACCATACCAAACCATACCATACCATACCATACCATACCATACCATACCATACCATACCATACCATACCATAGCAAACCATACCATACCATACCATACCATACCTTACCATAGCAAACCATACCATACCATAGCAAACCATACCATACCATACCATACCAAACCATACCAAACCATACCATACCATACCATACCATACCATACCATACCTTACCATAGAAAACCATACCATACCATAGAAAACCATACCATACCCTAACATACCATACCATACCATACCATACCATACCAAACCATATCATACCAAACCATATCATACCATACCATACCATACCTTACCATAGAAAACCATACCATACCATACCATAGAAAACCATACCATACCATACCATACCATACCATACCAAACCATACCATACCATACCATACCATACCTTACCATAGAAAACCATACCATACCATACCATACCATACCAAACCATACCATACCATACCATACCATACCATACCATACCATACCATACCATACCTTACCATAGCAAACCATACCATACCATACCATACCATAGCAAACCATACCATACCATACCATACCATACCATACCATACCAAACCATACCATACCATACCATACCATACCATACCATAGCAAACCATACCATACCATACCATACCATACCATACCATAGCAAACCATACCATACCATACCATACCATACCATACCATACCATACCATAACAAACCATACCATAACAAACCATACCATACCATACCATACTATACCATACCATAACAAACCATACCATACAATACCATACCATACCATACCATAACAAACCATACCATACAATACCATACCATACCATACCATAACAAACCATACCATACCATACCATACCATACCATACCATACCATACCATAACAAACCATACCATACCATACCATACCATACAATACCAAACTATAGCGCATTGCATTGAATGACACTTTTTTTTTGTTTATCACCACTTAATCACAGGTGGTAAAAGATTACATTTCAGGTCAGGATGCAGAGGATAAGCACTACCTTCTTAAAAAAGACAGTGCAAGCACAAGATGTTGGTCATACAAGAAAGTAGAGTACTTTCTTTGAGATAATAGTTACAAACGATCTACTTCTAGCCTCAGATAGGGGACTTCTGTCTGTGCTCGTCTTGTTAGATCTTAGTGCTACTTTTGACACCATTGACCATCGGATCCTGTTGTACAGACTGCTTGGAATTACAGGGACTGCTTTAAGTTGGTTTGAATCCTACTTATCAGACCGATCTCAGTTTGTACATGTTAATGATGAGTCCTCTATGCACACTAAAGTTTGCCATGGAGTCCCACAAGGTTCAGTGCTTGGACCAATTCTCTTTACATTATATATGCTTCCTCTGGGAAATATTATGAGGAAATACTCCATACAGTTTCATTGTTATGCAGATGATACTCAGCTTTATGTATCAATGAAGCCCAATGGCACCAGTCAGTTATGTCAGCTAGAAACGTGCCTTAAGGACGTTAAGACCTGGATGACCAGAAATATTTTGCTACTTAACTCAGACAAGACTGAAGTTATTGTGCTAGGCCCTAAGAACCTCAGAGAGACTTTTTCTAGTGATTTGACTGTCCTTAGTGACATCAGCCTGGCATCTAGCACCACTGTTAGGAATCTAGGAGTTATTTTTGAGAAGATATGTCTTTTAGCTCTCACATCAGTCAAGTTTCAAGAACAGCCTATTTTCACCTTCATAATATATCCAAGATCTGGAATATCCTGTCACAAAATGATGCAGAAAAACTAGTTCATGCATTTGTTACCTCCAGATTGGATTATTGTAACTCTCTTTTGTCAGGGTGCTCTGGCTCTACAAAGCTCTAAGTGGCCAGGCACCATCTTACCTGAAGGAGCTACTAGTGCCGTACTGTCCCTCGAGAGCGTTGCGGTCCTGGAGTGCAGGCCTGCTGGTGGTACCTATAGTCTCCAAGTGTACTATGGGGGGTAAAGCCTTCAGTTATCGGGCTCCTCTCCTCTGGAACCGCCTTCCAGCCAGGG